GGGAACTGGTGTTGTGGAGCTTGCGGGTGCAAGGTCAATAAGTCGTGGTGGACGTGGTGAAAGCACTGCGGCCGCCAGTGGTCAGGCGTCTGGGAAAGTGAAGACCTCCCGAAAAGGGCCAGCGGTGTGTGGGGTGATCTGGGCCGTCCTCACCCCCCTGGGCTTGTACGTGGGGGACTGCACACTCGAGGGGCCTCTGTGGACACCCTGGGGAGTTCCAACAAAGGGGAGATCGAGTCTGTCATCTAATTCCTGGTGGCCAATTCGGATTTCGAGGCTGCCAACAAGTACAAGGAGAAGCTCCGCGTTCTTGAGCCCCCACCTCCTAAGTTGCAGTGGGGTCCTGCGAAGCAGGAGATGGAGAAGTGTCAGGCAGCGTTGGGTCGCCAGGTCGCCCGTGCCAACCGTCTCGAGGCAGAGTTCGTGCAGACAAAGGAGGATACGGCCGCAGCCTTTTATGGCTCATCTGCAAGCAAAAGAAAAGTATGCAGAAGCAGTACGGGAGCTCGCAGCCTCGGTCCAGCAGCAACCACAGCAGCCCAGCAGCCAGCAGCCCATCAAGCCCCGCCTGCCCCTGGAAACTCTCATGGATGGGGGCCTGGAGGGTGTCGAGCTGGACGATGGTGGTCTATTTGGATTGGAGGAGGCGGGCTGGGAGGCGTCGAAGCTTGGGGAGGCCCAGAGGAGGAAGGAGGCGCTGCTCAAGTTCTTTCAGTCTGCAGCGCAGCAGGCCTTCGGCTCCTTCCGTGCCCAGGCCAAGGAGACTGTCCAGAAGCAGCGAGAGCTCCGCACTCGTCTGGCGGCCAAGAAGAGGCGTACCGAGAGTGGGGCTGCCGAGGGGGCCCCTGTGGGCTCTGGCCCTCCTGGCCACCTTGGGGCCCAGCCTGCGTCCGCCCCCGCTGAGGCCACGCCCGAGGAACCCTGCGTGGCCCCCTCGGCCCCTGGTCAGCCCAGCCCCACGCCATCTACTGAGGACCTCTTCCAGGCCGCCCGTGCCCAGGCTTTGCCCAAGAAGGGAGGAGGTGGAGGTGCAGGGGCAGCCAGAGGAGCAGCCAGCGGAGCAGCTAGCGGCGCGCCCCCCCCTCCCCCCCCCCCCCCTCCCCGCAGCAGCAGCGGCCCCCGCGAGCGGGGCACCACCGCCCGCCCAGCCCGCGTCGGGCACCGCGGGCGGCAGGCAGCACGGGTGGCGGCGGGGATGCAGCCGGCGGCATCGGTCATCGCCAGCGAGGGCTCGGTCTCGATCGCGACGGCCAACACCTCGGACTGGTGCAATTGCCAGAAGCTCATGGAGAAGGAGGCCCCAGGGGCCAACATTGTCCTATTGCAAGAAGTGCAAACCTCGCCAGGTTCCAAATCTGAGCGGGAATCGCAGTTGAGATCTAGGAAGTGGACTACAGCGGTCAGCCCTAGCCGCACCACGGAGGCTGGTGGATTTTCTTCTGGAGTTGCTATCGCAATACCCTCGCATGTTGGAATGGCTGGGGATCCTTGGAAGGGCCCCAAGTTACCATCGGCGCCGAGAGTGGTCATGAGTTGGATAAGTAGTGTTGTTCCTGGAGGTTTCCTCGCGGTCTCGTTGTACCTTCCGACGGGTGATGCACTGGGAACAGAAGGGTCGCACCTATTGTGCAGAGCGGGAGATGTGCTCCACACGCTCAAGTTGCCGTACATCGCGGGCGGAGACTGGAACTGCCCGCCCCCCCAGTTAAGAAGCTCCGGCTGGGTTGGGAAGGTGGGAGGACACGTTGCCGCGGCAGGTCGGCCTACTTGCAGGAAAGGGAAAGTTTGGAGAGAGATCGATCAGTTTGTTGTATCGTCGGGGCTTGCCCCTTCCATTGAATCCATCTCGGTCATGCATGACGCGGCTCTTACACCGCGCTATCCTGTGAAGTTGGCGTTGAAGTCAAAGTTAGTGCGCACTGAATGTCTCGCTTTGGCAGGTCCGAGGAGGTTTCCCAGCGCCGCGCCCGCATGTCCTCTCCCGGCCCCCCCAGACTGGAGCACCGTTGAAGACGAGGTGACGCGCATGAGCGAGAGCCCCGCCTGTTGCACACAGGATGCGCTGAACGCAGCATGCGGAGGCTTCTTCGACCTGATGGAGTCGGAGCTCATCGCCGCACATGGGCTTCAGGGACCTAAGGAGAACAGATATCGAGGTCGAGGCAACGGTTGTAAGTTGAGGCGTGTACCTGAGTTGCAGACCACTGGGGGGCCCTATGCCCTCTCCTGCGCGAAGGCTCGGGGCTGGAGGAAGGTGGCTACCAGGTTCCAGGAGCTCGCTTACATTGTGCGCCACGCGGATGGAGGGTCCCCGTCATACGGTATGGGGCTCATATCCAAGGTGCTGAGAAGCAGGCCGCCTGACGAGGATCCAGTTCTTTGGGAGAAGTGGTGCCCTACATTTGCAGATGTGCTCTACATGAGCGCAGACGAGTTGGACGGCTACGGCTCCGAGGCAGCGCATTCCGCATCCCTTCTTGAGCAGGCCGTTACGCGCGCGAGGGGCATGGCTCGGCGTAAGCAGGTAGTTGATGCATGCGAGAAGGGCGGAGGCCGCGCCCACAAGTTCTCTCAGACGCCAGCGGGATGGAAGCCTTCAGCTGCAGGATCCGATGGAGCGCCTCCCGGCATGGGCGCACAGGTGGAGGCCTTGCACGAAGATTGGTGCACGATCTGGGACGTGAGCCCACATCAACCAGCTGCGCCAGGCCCCGATGAGAAGGACCCACGCATACTGATTGCAGATATCCTGCGCCGTGAAGGAATTGATCCCAATGAGGCTGCTAGCATCCCTGTATTCGGCGCCGAGTACAGTCGCAAGACTGCCAGATCATTCAGGGGGCGCACTGCAGTCGGTTCTGACAGGATCAGCCCTCGTGACTTGGCATGGGTTTCTGACAGGTGCCTTACGACACTGGGATTGTTGTGGCACATCATGCTCGACATCGGAAAGGTACCACCCCAGGCTTCACTGATCACGATGGCAATGCTTGCGAAACCAGATGGGGGATTCAGACCGATTGGGCTCCTCAATACCTTCATTCGTGTGTGGGGCAGATGATCACGGTCGGTTGCGCGTGCATGGGAAGGTTCAAACAAGCGAAGCTACTTCTGCGGGTGCTCGGGCAAATCTTGTGAACGAGGAGTCTGGGAGCAGGCCTTTGTTGCTGAGCATGCGAGAGTCACTGGAGGCTGTGTTGGATCGCGGCTATTAGATTTATCCAAAGCATATGAGCGAGTACAGCACGTCCATTTGATCGACATCGCAGTCAAGACGAAGTTCCCTTTGGATGTGCTCAGGTTGCCCATACGTATCTATCGTTCTCTTCGTCTAGTGGCAGTGGGACAGGTTACGTCGCTCCCAGCGGTGGTGTGGCAAACCATCATTGCAGGGTGCGCATGCGCGACGACGCTCCTGAATATGCTGCTGCTACCTGTGTTGGACGACGTGGTGTCGCTGTACCCCTACGCCAAGATGACGAATGTGGTCGATGACAGCACGTTAGAAGTACGTGGGCCTGTCAAGTTTGTTGCGAGGCAGCTCGTCGACGTGGTGAGATATACTTGCAAGCGTTTGGAGGCATTGGACCTTGTACCCGCCAGGACCAAAGGGAAAATACTCTCTGCGCACCAGTTTGTTATCAAAAGGGCCACTCGGAACCTCTCTCGTTGGGGATCCCAGGGCGCTCCGGTTGTCAAGAACCTGGGCGTGGATTTCACCATGGGCAAAACTCGTCGGAATCTCACTCAGGCCGATCGAATCTCCAAGGTTCGCAAAAGGGCCCACAGGTTCCGAGCTCTTCGATCCTCATTCGTCAAGCTTACCAGGATCGTCCGTGCAGGAGCCAACCCTGCAGGACTTTACGGCGCCTCAGTCATGGGCGTCTCCGACCGCACCCTGAGGATGCTGCGCGCAGCGGCAGGAGAGTCGCTCTTTGGGAAGGCAGGAGTCGAACCATTGGGTTTATGCTGTCGCCGACGCCGTTGGCAGACCCCGCCTACGTGGGCAACTCGGCTTCCCTCACGGCTTGGGCTACCGCGGCTAGGCTTGGCTGGGCCCCTGCTGCTGAGATGAAGCGGGTCTTCGACACCCTGGGGGCCGAAGGGGGCCCTCCATGGCAGAAGATCAATGGGCCCACTGGAGCAACGCTGGCTACCCTTCGGAGGCTCGGCTGGAGAAGTTCCAGCTGGTGCTCTTGGGAGACTCACTGTGGGCTGATACTGGATGTTTATGATTATGGGACCAGGACCGTGAAAGCTATCATCGACTCTGGGACCAAGGACGCTCTTCTACGGGACCTGAACCTCAACGATGAGGCCTGCCTAGGTTGCGTAGCGCCGTTTGCGCCCCTCTTGGACCCACTCCAGGAGGTCTGTCAGGAATCCCGTGCTTCAGGCAAAGGTCTGGAGGCCTCGCCCTTGGCCGCTGTGGCTTCGGGGGGGATGGCTGCCCAAGCCGACCTCTACCTGGATCGGGTTTCTTGCAGTGCTGCTTGTCAGGCGTGTGGGCACCCTTGGGGAACCAAGCAGCACCGCTGTTTCTCCTGCCCCGCGCTCCATGATTGCCGTCAACTTTTAGGGTTCGATCGTTTAGTCAGGACTGGAGAGTCGGCTACCTCCCCGAAGTGGCGGCTCTTCTATACTAGCGGGTTGCTTTCTTCGGCGTTTCGTTACTCACCCTGCCCCCTCGTGCAGCAACCCTGGAGGTGGCACATCGCCCCGAGGTCTGGCCGTCTCGGATGGATTGTGTGCCTGGACGGCTCCGCCCTCGACCCCACTCTGCCGTGGCTTTCTCGAGCTGGGTGGGCCGTGGTGAGCGTGGACCCAGGGGGCCAGATCTCGGGCAGCTTGTTTGGGCCTCTCTCCCCGCCTTACAGTCCAACCTGGGGGGGAGTTGTGGGCCCTGTGAATGGCGCTCATGAATGCCGATGCTGACCCCCTGGAAATATGGACGGACTGTAAAGTTATCGTTGATGTCTGGAGCTTAGGCCCCGGCCAGGATGTTTCGGGGCTTGCGTTTTCTGGGGTGTGGGTCAAGGTCTTGGCCAAAGCTCTGGACATAGGCTGGAGTTTCATTTCTATATGTAAGATTCGTTCCCATCTCTCTTGGAACCAGGCGCAGGTCCAAGGGTTCCCCTTCTATGCCTGGGTCGGCAACAGGACTGCCGACAGCCTGGCTCGGGACGGCACCTTGCTGCAAGAGCAGCCAGAGGCCCTCCGTTCCTGGTATCATGCGGTCTGCCAAAGGATCAAGCAGGTAGGGAAGCTTGTAGGTTTCATGCTGGGGGAAGCGTCTCGGAGGGGCTTGAGGGATGTGGAGCGTTGCAAGGCCAAGTCCAAGGCCCCCCGCCGCTCCCCTGACGCCCCCCAGCTGGCTTTAGTTCTAGAGCCCAACGGACACACGATCTGTAGGGAAGGTAAATCTTATCTGTGTGACATCTGCGGGGAACGTGCGAAGTCCAGAGGAGCCCCCGCCGCGTTCTCCTGCCGAAGGATCCCCAAGATTGCCGCGTCGGCCCACCCCTCCCACGTGCTTTGGATGGGCTCAGGGCCCTCGGGGAAGGTCGTTTGGTGTCGGAAATGCGCTGCGTTCGGGGTCCTTCGCTCCCGCTTCTTGAAGGAGACATGCACTGGACGGCCTCGGAATCGGGCGGCAGACAAGAGTCTGTCGATGCCCCTTGCCGGCAAGGACCCCAGCTCGAGGTGCCAGTTCGGTCGCAGCTCCCAAGTCAAGTTCGGGGAGGTGTAAGCGTGTGTTTGCTCAGTCTCTTGCGCCTCGGATGCGGGAGACTGCGGCTGCGTGCAAAGCGTGGAAAGGAGGAGGAGGAGGAGGAGGAGGGGAGGAAGAGGAGGAGGAGGTGGAGGACAACGACGACGACGGCGAGGACGAGGACGAGGACGAGGACGAGGATCAGGAGGAGGAGGAGGAGGAGGAGCAGGAGGAAGAGGAGGAGAGGAGAGGAGAGGAGAGGAGAGGAGATGAGAGGAGGAGGAGGGGGAGGAGACGAGGAGGACGAGGGAACGAGGAGGACGAGGACGAGGAGGAGGAGGAGGAGGAGTAGGAGGAGGAGGCGAATGAGGAGGAGAAGGAGGAGGAGGAGGAGGAGGACGAGGATTAGATAGAGGAAGCGAGGGAAGGAGGAAGAGGAAACGGAGGAGGAGGGGGGGGGGAGGAGGAGGAGGAGGAGGAGGAGAGGAGGAGGAGTAGGAGGAGGAGGAGAGGCAGGAGGAGGAGGAGGACGAGGACGAGGACGAGAACGAGGACGAGGACGAGGATCAGGAGGAGGAGGAGGATCAGGAGGAGGAGGAGGAGGCGGAGGCGGGAGGGGGAGGAGGAGGAGGAGAAGGAGGAGGAGGAGGAGGAGGAAATGGGAACAGGGAGGATGAGGAACAGGCGGAGGAGGAGGAGGAGGTGGTGGAGGATCTGGAGGAGGAGGAACAGGCGGAGGAGAGGAGACGCCCCTCGTCGCGGGCCTCTCCTCCCTTGCCCGTGCACGGGCCTCCTCGCGCCTTTCTCGGATGTTGTCGGGGGCGCTCCTGGAGGTGCTACAGCCTCGGGATGTGCACTTGTGGCTGCCTGCACCTCGGGGGTGCCAGGATCGCCCCCGGACAGCCGCCAGAGGCCCAAGTTATAAGCCAAAAGACGGGCCTCGCGTCATGAAGATGTCGCGACGGCAGATGTTTGACAATTTTCTTCCTCGGGGGCCCCTTGGCCAGAAAAATATGTCCATGAAAAATCGCCCCCCCCCTCGGGACAGGGTCCAGACCGTTGGGAAGCCAAGTTGCGAAACAACACCAGTTCGGATGTATGGGGTGGGAGCCAGCTTCGAGGATTTTGAGATGTTGGCGTAGTCGTCTCCCCTTGTACGCGTCACGACTGGATTCCCCAGGAGGGGTACAGGGGGGAATTTCCCATGTTCGCCATGGCGGCAAGTGGTCCTGCGTGAAAGGGCTCTTACACTTGATCGTTTTCTCGGGACGTTTCGCGGGCCGCGGGAGTGTTAAAGTGTGTATGAAGCGTTGATTGGGAGATCTTTTTAGTTTGGCGCCTCCTGGGCATTCCTGGTGACCCCAAGGGAGCCACAAGAGCACCCCAAGAGGGGCTGGAGAGCGGCACAAGAGGCTTCCAAAATGGCCCCGAGAGGGCCACGATGGCCTCACTTGGCTTCCAAGACGCTCCCAGAGCGACAGATCCAGAACGACCTTGATCGTTGACTTCTGTCGTCATCGGCGACGTCGTGTCCGTCTTCCTCTCCAATCCTCTTCTTCCTGCTCATTCTCCTGCGCCTTCCCCCACATCCCTATCCCCTTCCTACTCCTCCACTGCCCTCCCTTCCTCAACCCGTTGAGCCGTCTTGAGCGCTCTGACGACCGAAGAAGCGAGTATGGCATACGAGGAAGTCACGAAAGCACTCCTGGCTCTTCAATACACGCTAGTCGTTGAAAGTAGGTATTTTCGGAACCCCAGATCCCAATCTACTTCAAGCGCCTTCCTACTTCAAGAATCGATATGATGTTGCTATGTGTTGTTATTATGTGGGAGGGCCTGAACCCAATCTACTTTATCCGCCTTCCTACTTCATGTTTCTACCCATTTTTTCCGACCGGCGTGTACTTTAGGTGGCCATTTTGGAGCACATCGGAGATTGGGGCACGCGGCCACGCTCCCAGCCTCGCATTCGGGGACCGCCCTGGGCAGGGGTCTGGGCACACACCGTGCCTATTGCACGGTGGCGGAATGCTCTGGCTACATGTCCAGCCCTTCAGGCCGGTTCGACCAGCACATACAGTGGGGGCGCGCATCAAGCATTTCAGAGGAGGAAACGGTACCCATACCTCTACCCTCCCCTCGTTTTCCCCTTTTTCGGCCTCCCAGGCCTCCCTCGTCGCCACCGCTGGATTCGCTTCGAGATCCTGGTCAGAAAACACCCCAGGAGAGGTCCGGGGAGTAGCGGTATCGGTACCTTTTGGTGTCCCCAGCAACCATATGTTTTTCGTCAGGGTATCTTGGGTTTCTTCGCTCCTCGCGCTGCGCGGTGATTTCCCGCAGCCGTTGAAGAAGCTGTTGCGTTCAGGGTGCTCCAGGTTTCCCCTCGGGTGCACCTCGCGCACGGGTTCTCAGGGGTGGGTGTCTTTTGATGGTTTCTTGCGACCGCGCCCGCATTGCATCGTCTGTTACTCTGTCGCATCATGGAATTTCCATCCACGGAGCACCTCTCGGATCGCAGTTGCAGCTCTCGGGCGCGATGTCCCCCATCTGCCATTCGCGCCCCTGCGAGGGCAAACGCGTCGTCGAGGTGGAGCTGAATCGGCTGATGGGGGCCACGAAAGAGTTCTGATCGTATTGTATCAGACTGGCCATGCTGTCCTGAGACGGGCGTACGAAAGACTTGCTTGCTTTGTTACTGCGGCATCGCAGTACCGCAGCGCATGGTTCCAGCAATGCAAAATGAGAGTAGCAAAGATAAGAAGAGTGGTTTCGGCAGAGCATACGTGTGACAGCAATAGGTCTAAATCGATCGAACCGCATCGGTAATCTACAAATGTGATAGAGTAGCAAATCATACTGGAGCCGTAGCAATAGAACGACGGTCACACAGCATACAAACGTGTGGCAAAGTGTCGAAAAAGCGGTGGCAAATATTGAATTGAGTATTTGGAAATTGCTTGAGTTGGAAATACAGGCCTGGTTTTGCCATCGCAGGCTCGCTCGTAGAATTGACATATTTGTGGTCGTCCTCGCGTGACAGTGGTCGTAGTCGCCGGAAGGAGTGTCATAGCAGCGACCGCTATGGCACAACATTTGCACTGGATGTGGATAGTAGGACGAGAACAGGGCCGTGCTGGCACATCAGAAGGGCTGCACTCGAGCATTGCAAGGACTGCTCCCCGCCTTTTGGAATCGCCCATGTGGCCGAACGTTGTGGCCAGAGCTCTGCCAAGCTATCCGACCGTGTGTTCCCCGAGCCGTTGGGGAACACGTGGGGGAGAAAGAAGAAGCGGAGGAGAGGAAGGACACAGAGAGGAGGATGAGGAGGAGCAGGAAGAGGAGGCGGGGGATGCTGAGGAGGAGGAGGAGGAGGAGGAGGATTCTTGATGCCCTCTGGGTGCTTCTTGTGGGCCTCGCCTCCTGGGAGCCTTTGGGCTTGGTGACCCTTCAGGGCTCCTTGAAGGCCTCTTTGGCAATCTAAGGGCATTCCTGGCCTGCCTGACGCCGTCAGAAGCAATGTTGGATACCTCTCTGAATCGACTCGGGGCCCTCTTAGGGCGCTTCTCGGCCATCTTGGAGGCCATCTTGGGCGGCTTAGAGACCTCTTGAGCCGTCTTGGGGCCTTGTTGGGGCTGTCTCGGAGGCCTCTTGAGCAATGATGGGCCCATTTGGGAGGCCCCATTGTGGGGGATCTTGAGGGCCTCTTCGGCCGTCTTGGGCCGTCGGAGGGCCGAAACGAAGCAAATGCCAAAATGTGTCAATTTGTTTGGCGAAGGGCCCAACCATGTGCAACCGTGAACACCGCAGTTGTAGGCATCGTCTTCGGTGGAGCCCCCGTATAGGGCCACAGAACGCTATACCGAGCGGGGGAGACACATGCGGACTGCGCTATTGAGATTTTCGGTGGAGGTCCCTACGGGGCAACTGAACGCTGTATTGGATGGGGGAGATGCATGCGGGCTGCGACATTGTGACCTTCGGTGGTGCTCCCTATGGGGCAGCGAAACGCTGTACTCGGTGGGGGAGACACATGTTGGCTACGCAATTGGAAATTCCGGTGGGCTTCCACGAGGCCCACATAGGCCCAGTAAATTTCCACGATCGACCTCTGGCACCCGAAGAAACTTTCCAAAAGGCTCCACCACGGCCTCCGGGCGCCCCACGAAGGCCTCAGAAACCATAGCAACGGCCCGGGTGAACGGCAGGACAGTCCTAAGAGGGTTCCAAAACGTGTCTAGAGGGGCCTCACAAGTCCAGAGGACGGGCTACGCGGGGAACGATAGTTGCCGCCCCCAGGGTCAGCGGCGTGGCGTAGCTAATGAATAAATTTGTAGGGGCGGGCGCAACGCCACAATCCCGTCCTTTCCCCATTGGTATGGCGGTCAAGTTTCGAATCGGCTCGTCGACGCATCCTCTTCCCTTTCCTCCCCTTTTCTTATCTTCCTCATCTGATTCATCTCCCCTTTTACTCGTTCTCCTCCCCTCCTCGTCTTCTCTGTCCCGGTCCCCTCTTCCTCTCAGCAGTCCCTCCTGTTCGGTTGCCCCCGCTCCTTCCTCGACCCCGCTGAGGTTTTGAGAGAAGGGAGGCGTTCGCACATGGCCACCCGCTTCAAACCAGCAACCCGATTCACTTAATTCCCTGCCCCAAATCCCCCCCGCGCCTCCTTAGCGCCGCGCTAAAAACCCCAAAGGCGCGTGCGAAACGCAGAGAATCCTTAAGAGAGTGCAAGCGCAGCCCGTGGAATGCCAACAGCATGGAACGAAAGCCTCTCAAAGCTAGGAGCGCGCTTTCGCGCCAGATCCCAATGGCCGACGAGGAGTCGCACCTCGCAGTTGCTTGCAACCGCCAACCCTTCCCGCAATGCACGGGCGCGGCCAGGGAGGGCACAAGTTTTTTAAAGATCCACTCATCCGCTCGCCCGCCGCCCATTCCCTCTTTTGTCATCTCAGTGTCCTCGTATATTTTATTGTTCCTGCCCCTAGCAGGCCCTGTTTCCATGACGCCTCCCCTCATCCCCCGCGTCTGCGTCTTTTCTCGAACAGGAGCAGAAAGATTGGGCGGAATGGACCACACCCAAGCTTGGTTGACCCATTCTTGGCTTCATCGAGATACGTCGGCGAATCCATTTTCCAGCTCCATTGCGACACACAAAGATATCGTAGCACTATTCGGTAAGACTATTCGTTTGGTTTTCATTTAATCCAGGGTGTTCTTTCGACGTTCCTGAAGATTACGTATGCAAATTACGATATCCATGACGAGGGGTGCATGTCTTCCACCCGCAGTATTCCATTAAAAGATACCCTTCCTTTTCGTATCCATCTTTTGTCAGAGTCACGAAAAAAAGATTAACAGCTTGCGTGAATGCATGCTTCGGGTAGGTTGCAAAAGCTATGTGACAATCTACAGTGATTTTGCAAAATAATTATGCAAATTTCAAACAAGAGAATCAAATTTCGCATCGCGTAGCGAGTCATAAAATGAGTTCGTTGGATTCGTCTGAACCACCGAAAATATCAAAGCATTTCATCCTAATCCCGTGGCGAAACGATAGCATTTTTGGGTTGTGTTTCTTTTTGTTCCGTCTATAAAAAATCTAACGCAAGCCTACAAAGTATATGATGGGCACGTTCCTTAAATTGACGACAAGCACGTTTGTTGTAAGTTTTCCAAGCTGTAATACGAAGATGGCACATTATTTATCACGAGGATTTTCTCGCACAGAGAACGATTGCGGATTACTACTGGTTCGGATTAGCCGGACATGCAACTATTCAGAGAAAGTCCGTTGGAAGACATACCAAAAACCATTCAGCAACGAAACGGCCCAGGAACCCCGTGTTTTATTGTGATAGCATTCGCAAAAATTAGTGGACATTGATTTCTACCTGGTTTGAAATCGTGGAATTCTAGACGCTTCGCGTATCCCCACCAGCCCGTCCAGAAATGAGTCCCAGGGGAGTGGAGGTTATGAGGGAAGCGGGGGAGCATGCAGAAGAACAAAGGGCGGGGTGAGCCGCCATATACCCCAAGAGGGGGAGGATGTAGGAGGAGCCGTCGTCGTAGGAGTAGGAGGAGGAAGAGGAGGAGCAGGAGGAGGAGCAGGAGGAGAAGCAGGAGGAGGAGGAGGAGGAAGATAAGGAGGAGGATATGGAGAACTGCGAGGACGAGAAGGAGGAAAAGGAGGAGGAGGAGGAGGAGGAGGAGGAGGAGGAGGAGGGGGAGGGGGGAGGAGGGAGGAGGAAGAAAAAGAAGAGGAGGAGGAGGACAATGGCGAGCTTGGGAGCCTCTTGGGCCCTCTTTGGGGCCTCTTGGCGGTCCCGGGGGCCTCTTGCGTATCTCGGGGAGCCTCTTGTGGCCTCTTGGGGGTCTCTTGGGGGCCTCTTGGAGGCCTCTTGGGGGCCTCTTGGGGCCTCTTGGGGCCCTCTTGGGGCGCTCTTGGGGCGCTCTTGAGAGCCTTCGAGGCGCTCTTGGGGCCATCTTGGAGGAGATCTATCAAAGAAGGGGGGGTCCTCAATTAGCGCTGCCCCTCTAAAGTGCCTCGAATCGCTTCTTGGGCCCCCCCAAGAGGCCAAAATCTCTCCAAAACCTAAGGAAAATCAATGTTTTGTGTTTTCTCGCCTTTTCGCTCTTGGAGCCGTCTTGGGAGCCTCTTGGGCCTCTTGGGGGTCTCTTGGGAGCCTTGTGGAGTCCTCTTGGGCGCCTCTTGGGGCCTCTTGGAGCGCTCTTGGGGCGCTCTTGGGGCGCTCTTGGGAGCCTTCGGGGCGCTCTTGGGGCCATCTTGGAGGAGATCGATCAAAGAAGAGGGGGTCCCCAATTAGCGTTGCCCCTCTAGAGTGCCTCGAGTCGCCTCTTGGGCCCCCCAAGAGGCCAAAATCGTTCCAAAACCTATGTAAAATCAATGTTTTTTGCTTTCTCGCCTTTTCGCTCTTGGAGCCGTCTTGGGCCATCTTGGGAGGCTCTTGGGGCCTCTTGGGGGTCTCTTGGCAGTCTCTTGGAGGCTTCTTGGGGGCCTCTTGGGGCCTCGTGGGGCCGTCTTGGGGCGCTCTTGGGGCGCTCTTGGGAGCCTTCGGGGCGCTCTTGGGGCCATCTTGGAGGAGATCTATCAAAAAAGGGGAGGTCGTATATTAGCGTTGCCCCTCTAGAGTGCCTCGAGTCGCCTCTTGGGCCCCCCCGAGAGGCCAAAATCCTTCCAAAACCTAGGTTGGAACCACGAAGATAACAACTATCAGCTGAATGAGGTCCCATCATACAACATTCACAAACTTGTCGTGTAAAATCAATGTTTTGTGTGTTTCTCGCCTTTTCGCTCTTGGAGATGTCTTGGGCCATCTTGGCCGTCCCAACGACCCGCGGAACGCCCCGTCCAGGTCAGTGGGGAGGGGTAAGGGGAGGGGTAAACCCCTCCCCGAAGGGGAAGAAGGGGGTTGGCAGAGGAAACTCCCTAAACCACCTACGCCCTAAAGGGCTGGTGGGATTCCCGCCCGTGACGGTATTTGCCGAAAAAATATTTCATACTCCGGTGGTTATAACCGTAACGGCCCAATTCGCACGCAGTTTTTGCCAATTTGACCGTACCATTTGCGCTGCTGGTAAACATGGGGTCAATTCCAACTGACCCGTTCGCT